GCTTAATATCTCACGTTTAAACACTTTACGAGTGTCAAAGTTGACGAGAGATGGAAGGAGATCGAAACGGAAGGTGCGAGATAGGGATATCCGTGCGTGGAAACAATGGGATCAGAGGTGGTGGAAGAAGGCGCCACCGGAACTATGGCCGGGAGGAGGAAGCCTGCGTTGCCGGATGGGAGGAGGAGGAGGGCAGCGCGCGCCAAGACGCGAGTAGAAAAAACAAAGGAGGGACGTGTATACGATTCCCTACCGGCGATAAACGTCCCCGAAGCTCGCAGGGAGGGTTTCGCGTGACGGAAACACGCGAGAAAACGTGAACACACGCGTGTCTTCCCGTGGGCCGGCCGTGGATCGCGTCGCATAAAGTAGGTGGATATGGCTTGTCCCCGTGGCCAACCGCCTCGTAGATAAGCAATTACGATGGAATCCGCAGATAAGGGGACAAATTCGAATTCCGAGATTCGGGGCTCCGATAGGATCGACACGAGGACACCTCTTCTTCGCCTCCTTCTCACCCTTTCCTTCACTCTCCTTTACCTTTCCCACGAACCGTATCACCGTATCCCCTCTTCCCTCCACCCTCCTTCCTCGTGGAACGTGGAACTCTGCGATCGTATTTTCCGCCTAAGAATTCGCCTTGTACGCGCCAATACAATCTATTTCGAAATAACAGGGAAGTACGTTAATGTGACGTGTGGATATCTGGATACGTAATGGAAACAGTTTTCACGAGGTGTTTCTTCTTTTTTTTTTTTTTTCTTTTCCTTCGCGAGGATTCTTTCTTTCACGGTAGTCGTTCGCTCGACCCGTTGGATGTAAGACGAGATTTCTCATTGTCTAGTGGAAATCTGTTGGCGGAACGGGTTTCACGACCGTGAAAATCTGCCAGAGATACGTAATGTATACTTTTTTTAAGAGAATCGATTTGTGCAAGACATATATAAGTCTGGAAATATATTCAATATATACGTAAGATTCGTTGCTTTGTATCCTTTAATTTTATCGAATATTTCGAATCTCGAGGATATAATTCGTTGAAATATTCAGGGAAAGATCAAAAGTTGTCGACTCAAAGCCAATCGAAAGCAACGATCCAAAATTTGGAACGCAGTTTTTTTTCCTCCCTCCCCCCCAATTTTACACTCGATTCTTGGTGTCGATATCCTCTGGTTTCCATCCGAGCAACTATCACGATTCGAACGAAAGCTCTTATCAACGGCCGCGTTTCGCCGGATACCACCATTACACGGGTACACAACGTGTACCGCACACGCATATTGGATACGCACATTTACATAGGATAGTACAAACGTATCGCGTTACGATGGAGCAACGCCCATCGGTTTCGGATAGCAGAGAACGCACGAAATCGCCTAGCCACGACGCGCAATACGCGAAACGTTTCGCGTAGAACACGGAGCGGGGAGATTTGACACAATCGGGACCGCCGATTGCCACTTTGATGGGTGGCGAGCTAGGCGATAGTAACAACGTCGACTTTTACCTATACACGCGCTCGCCCGTCGTCGTCCTTTGAACGCTCGCCTCTGGTGTTGAATTGCCAACGCGGGGATTATTCGTATTCCCTCGATCGATCAGAATTTCGAGAGATATTCGATAATCGATTCGAATTCGATTTATCGTTTTCGTTTGGAAAATGTATAGATGGATATAATGTATTCGCTAATCGATTCGTTTTTTTAAACTTTTTCGTTATTCGTCCTCGTAATTCGAAAGATGTAGGAATTAATTTTAAGAGGTTTACAAGTATCGCGATCTCTTATGCCGCGTCAATTTTTCATTATTATATTAGGAAATGAAATTTGAAAAATCATCATCTGTAACAATTTTATAATATTAATAATACAGAATCTTTTATATGAATTTTAATATTATATTTTTTATTATAATATTTTAATATATAATATTTTAAAATGTATAATATTTTAGTATTGTAAATAGAAATTTTTCTTTTCCATTTTATATTTGTATATTTGAGAATTGGAATGGGGACGATTTTTATAGTAGACGTGTTTTTAAATACAATATATTAACGTGGGCGGGTATGGGGTAACGATTTTTGAAACGGATTCGAACGTTTGTCCGAATGGATTAAGAATCGACGTATTCTATAAGAATAGGGAAACCGGAAGTCGACCTCGTACAGCGAGATTTATAGTCTTTCGAGTGTCTCGTTGCTGGCTCTTGCACGATACCCACCCCGCCCACGAACGGCAGTAGATTACGCGGTTTTTGCACCGTGAAGCATCCTGTACGCGTTCCCCCAGGCGCACAATTTATCGATTATACAAACAATAAGGAAATCCTCGAGCGAACGAGACGTGGAAGGATTCCGAGGAATGGTTTCGCTTTTATGCGACCAGTCCCCCTTTATCCGTCTCCCTCGCGTCGTAAAAATCTTTTATCATTCTTATATTATTACATGTTCTAAAACAATTTTTCTATCCCTTCCTTCTAAACTTACCTTACTCTACCCTTAAACTTAACAACGATTGATAAATTCGTTCGAATCTAATTCCTCTTAATAATATTTTCGATTAACAAATTTTTATTCCAAGACTCGTTTCAAACTTTGAAATTGAAATTTCCGTCGATGGAATTTCCAAAATTTCCTATATATGAAATAAAAAAACTCGAAATAAGGATCGTTGGAGCCACGCGATTTCTTTCGCCACTCGCCAAATCTCGACAAATCTCGAATGGGAAGAATGGATTTTCCTTGGTTGGATCGCGAGGCCGAGTCTTCTCGACACCTCAGGCTTAATTAATTTTAAACAAAGTTAAAGTCAGGTGACGTGCAGCCACCAACGCGAGCGGATGCACTCGACCGAGCGTCGCTGGTAACGTAATACGGAGTCGGACTACCTGACCGATCTGACAGTAAGCTCGAAACAAAATCGAATCGGTGCACGGGGAGCATCCGTACAGCTGGAACTCGTTTATAAACAAGCGTCCCCTTTTTGGTTTCCACTCGAATCGATTGTGAAAAAAGAGAAAAAGAAAAGAAAAGAAAGGGAAAGAGAGAAAGGCATCGCGTCTCTTAATCTTCTCCCCGCGTTGCTAATTCCACTTGTGCCATAAATATCAAATTTTGCTCCCATTCGGTTTTTATTCATTTCCTTCTTTCTTCCAGTATTTCACTTCCGGTATTTAATCCCCTCCTAATCTTTTCCCTTTTACTTTTTTTTAATGAATAAAATAGAACAAATAAATAGACAATAAAATAGAAGAATAAAATTCTTTTCATCGAGTACGAAATTTTAAATAATTGCAACAAATTGTTCTCGCCGGATTTCGCGATATTTAATGTAACAGAGATATGTATCTATAGATTATTCGACGTTTAATTGTAATAATTCGCGTTTCAACGCGAGTATGAATATTTCCATTCGAATAAATTATTAGATAAAGGTACGCGAAAAAGAAATAGAGGATTAGATTCGATGATTTTCTTTTTTTTTTTATATTGTCTCTCTCAACGGAATAATAAAACGTTTGGACGTGGAGAGGACCGAGTTCCATTGGAGCATGCTCCGTACCGGAAACAAACGTCAACGGCGAACAGATCGATGATTCGCGTCCATGGAAACCGCGGATGGACCAATGCGGGGAGGTTATTCTCCTTTCCGGACAGGCGCATCCGCCTTTCGCCTCTCTCTCGTCTCTTGCTACCCAACCGAAGGAAAAACCTCTGCCGCCAAAGCGAAACCAGTGATATTTATTTCGACCAACTATACCTATCTTGCCTAACGTCTTCAACGAAACCTCCAACATTCTGCGACAAAAATTTTTTATCAATTTTTGAATAAAACTTCTACAAACTGTAGAATTTTTTTTTATTACAGAATTATATCACTTTCATTTTATAATTAAATTATCAGATAATCGATCGATTCTGTATAATTAATCCCCTATTGGATATTGTCGATAATTTTGAAGTTAAAAATAAAATATGCTTTAAATCGTGTTTTTGCATAAATAAAATGATCGATCGATTGTTCAATCCTCGAGAAAAAGGCGAGATATTAAGAAAATGCAGAGGATTTCGAATCGAGAAAATTTCGAACGAGAAAGATTCAAGAAACTGGAGGGAGGCAAATACGCGATTAAACAAAGCTCGGATACATTTCAAGTCCCGTGAAACAGACTTTCCCCCTCCCGTCCGTTTCCACCGAGCAGTGGTTCGATTCCATGGTTCGAGAACTACCTTACCTATCGGCAAGTTTTACTCATTAAGTAAAGGCATTATCCCGCCCCGTCTGAGCCTGAACGTTCTGCAACGATATGCAATCAAGTGCACAGACGAGAGCGTGCACTTAAATTACTCCTCCTCGAGAGAGTTTATCGAACGTACGACGAGAACTTGCCTCGTTAACACGGAGTTTGAAATCACGGTGGCCAACTTTCAAATTTACCGATACGATACGATACGATACGATACGATACGATACGATACGCCATTTTCGAATCGACTAACGATCACGATGAGAACTATGATTTTGTTTTCCTCTTGTTTTTTTTTTTTCCTTTCTTTTTCTTTTTTCCTTTTTTTTTTTTTTTTTTT